TTTCCGCTATCCGTAGACGCCGTAATTTACCAGAGGTTCGTGTAGTGAAATGCACTTGAAACTTCCCAAGACTTAAACAAGTTCTATAGCAGATATCACATTCGTTTGAACGTCGACAGCACCTTGGGTTTGCAAGCAATGCAAAGAGTGACAATGGAATTGGCCACGGAAATGGACAGCACGGTCATGTAGATGGAGTTCCTTCAAGCGGAGATGGTCATCCTTTCCCGGTATGTATCCGAGACTCGTGCCACCCTTGAAACAAGTAAACAGATACTCATTCATCTCAGCCTCCTCCAAACCCCGCTCCTTCCCCGACATCCTCCTCAAGTGCCCCAGACACCCCGCCAGTCCCACCACCTGCGTCGTCACCTCCAGACACCGCGTCGTCAACTCTTCCTACAGCTGCTCCTGGTAGTGTACCACACACTCCACAGGCTCAAAACCCATCGACTTCCGGTACATCGTCCCCAGGTGACCCAGACCCTTCACAGCCATCGGACAGCGCATCGTCAACTCAAAATGCCGAGTCACAAACCGCCTTTGGGCAGTCACAGATATATCATATCACTCGCACTTCTAAACCAAACCAAACCACCACCACGGATGGTTCGCCGAACCCAACGTCAATTCTGTCTTCCACTCAATCTGCATTGACTTCGCAGCCGACAACCTTCGCCGTACCATTCACCACAAGCCCCAGCCAATTCAGCCAATCACCCATGTCTCCCTCAGCCACATTCTCTGCTCAGAGCGCCCTTGGGCCCTCCTCCAACAAGGGGTCAATCGCAGGAGGCGTTGTGGGTGCCTTGGCGGTCGTTGCTCTGGTCGTAGTTGTCGCGTTCATTCTTATCAGGCGACGTGCACGGCGCAGACACATGGCGCCTTCAGCGGAGTTCATGCACGCCCGGAATGCCGCATTTACACGACTAGGCACTCCAACCCCGATGTTTAGCGACGAGCCGATCCTGTATTGATCGCGCAGCTGGGGACCGTCACCTATGTTCATAAAGTGCTTGTCCACGAACGAGCAGGCCAGGAGCGGCATTACTGCGCTCGCTCCTTCGCCACTATATGCCACCACTTTTTGGAGGGACATTGATGCTATAGTCCTATTCTTATTCTGATTTATACTTTTCTCCTCCTTTTACTCTCTTCAAGGCACCGTGTAGTTCTGTTGGTGGCTGTTGTCTACAGTACGTGCGTGTACAGGAAGACGGGTGTAGCTATAAGCACGATACACAAGAAATCAGGCAATGCTATATTTTAAACTAACAATTGTGCACTTCAGTCGCTGAGAATGGCGGACACCACATTTGTGACCCGCAGTTGCCTCAAATCAGTATATGTCTACACATATCAATCAGCACGACGATACGACAGGTGTCAGCGCGACAACAACCCACCTGTCCGCAGCCCACGAATATAATGGGTTGCCCGGTAACATAAGTCATCGAAAGCGCTGCTCCAACCTAAAAGAATCAAGGGAGAATAGCTATTGATGCGCATCTTCTTGATCTACTAGCAACAACGCACCTTGTCATCGACAGTGTCCCATTTGGTGATTAGCATACCATCGATGCCTCGTCCTTTCCCAGAGCCGGAAGCCGCTGAAAAATCTCGAAGAGCTCGGTCGAACTTGGTGAGTTGGTCGACTGCCTCGTTGCCTACTAGCGCTTCGCCGACAAAAATGATCTTGTCCGGATTGTTAACCGCTACAAGCTGCAGGCAATACGCTTAGAAATTGGCGGTCTGGCACGAAATGCTCAAATCCCACCTTGGCAAGTGCTCGCATGAGTGGCTCGTTGTCCTGCATTCTTCCAGCAGTATCGATAAGTACAACATCAAAATCATTTTCCTTGGCTGTATGAAGAGGATAAGCAAATAACGCAGCTGAAAATATTAGGTAGCCTACACACCGTAGGTGATGGCCTCCTTGGCAATGCCTGCAGCATCTTTTCCATAACCTCTCTCAAAAAGTTCGACTCTTCCCTTGCTATCAGTAGCGCCATTGACTCCAAGCATGCTCAAGTTGCGGACATGCACGCGCAGCTGTTCAACTGCCCCACTCCTGCAAATTTTGCAGGCTTCACATCTATCTTTGGAGAATAGAGACCCACCTGAAAGTGTCACAAGCAGCGATCAACACCTTTAGTCCGTTCTGGATCAGCCAGAAGCAGACTTTTGACAAGTTGGTGCTTTTGCCGACACCATTAACACCAACAAAGGTCATACTATAAGGAAGCCGTTGCTGGGTGGAAGGAAGTGGAGATGACAGTTTGGACCTGATAGACAGCAAGAGGTCGGTCGACGTTTTTGGAGTCAAAATCCTGGTCAGCGAATTTGACAATGCCAATCGCACTGCCGCATTCGTGGCTACAGGTCAAGCAAATGTTAGAGTCGAGAATGAATCATGGCACTAGAGCACATACTTTGGAAACTGCCTACTTTCTTGCCGACCAGCCCTTCACCCACACCCTCACATACTTTCTCAGATATCTCTTTCGCGACGTTCTTCTGCATGAGGTGCTGCTTCATGGCCTCTAGAACAGGCTTGAGGTCTTCTTCAGATAAGACCTTTGATCCCGTCAAACGCGCAAAGATCGTCCCCAAAGTACCTAACGAACTCGAGGTCTTTTTGGCACCATCTTCCTTCTCGCTCAAAGCTTGAGCAATAACATTATCAGTATCATCCTCTCTCTTCCTCGCAAACTCCCAATCTTTGACTTCGTACATTCCGTCTCGGGTCCTCGTACCCAGAGACGCCTTGTCGACTAGGGCCTGCAAATCGTGCGAACCAACAGTTTCATTGCCTGCATCCTGCTTGTCAGCACTAAAATCAAGAACCGCCATATCTCCTTCAGTGGGAGCCTCATCGCCCCATTTTCGTTGTATTTTCGCTTTTGATTTCTTTTTCGATGCAGCTTCGGAACTGACATTATACGGTCAGACAAGCAGCCGCTGTAAACGGTAGCAAACTTACTCCGAGTCTGGATGAGTATCTCTTCCACTGCCCATATCCATACGCCCCATCCCGCGACCTCCACGCTTAACTCCACGGCCACGTAGTCGATTCTTAAGAGCTTGAACATTGCGAGCAATTTGTTGCTCGTCCACAGGCGTGTCCATTGGTTGAGAGGGCACTGGTAGAATGTCAATGTGGATATATGCCATTGCAAATGGCTTGGGTATACCTGTGCTAACATCATCGGAGGGAGGTGTCGAGTCCACGTCGACTGAACGCGTAGTATTACGCAGACGAGACTTTCTATCCTGGACACAACACGAATAAGTTTCTTAATCTTCCATTCGCATATATGGGCCAACCTGAGCAGCTTTATCTTCCAATCCTCTCAACAACTTATCAAATATCTTATCCCAGCCTTCAAAGGCTTTCACAAAGCTCCATTGGGTAGCGACTTCGCCAGCAGCTGAGACCACCTTTCCGCTACTGAGCGCATGGAGTGATGCAACAAACGTAGCAAGGAACGGCTCAAATAGTTTAATAAAGAGTGTCTTCAGGGCAGCTAGAAGGTCGTCCACGTATGTAAGTTGTAGGATACGCTGGTAGGCCACCTGAAGGTCGACCAGTCATGAACATATATGACGTTCAGACACGAATATGATACGTACGACGAATATGAGTTCTAAGTCATTGACAAATGACCACTTGACTGCATAGCCGTCCTTTTCGTATTTTTCATCTGTGGTTCGGCCCTCGATCAAAGCTTCCCGAATAAGAGAGTTCACTGGTGAAGAAGAAGATGCAGCCAACTGCGCAGCGTCAGGTGTGAACGAACGGGACCATAAAACGATGCCGCCTATTAAGCAATGAGCAACGACAGCTCAGTTACCACCAAAATAAAACGTAAAGAACATACCTTTGTGGGAGATAGAGCAATGGTCAAGCATATTGTTGAGGGATTAAGAAGAACGGAACTTTGCAGTGCACCGCCACTGCAAACCGATCCTTGAATTCGAACCATCATCGCATCGTAAATGCGGCTTTCGATATTCATGATGCGACCCTTTCCTGAAACAAAAGTTCTTGTATGACCTCCGATTGCCTCCTCGTTGGCGTTCTTTTTCATCCGGGTATTATGTTTTGGACGCATTTCGTTCAAGAATTCAACAGTACTGCTAGCTTTCACCGGACGATGAGGGCACCCAGTTCAAGTATCCCCGCTGTTCTTCACAGGTGCTTATATATCATTAGTCGCCGATTCAATGGAAGTCCGAAGGCGGGCAAGATGCGGTGCATAATTTTCTCAGCATAACTGGTCGTGTTCGGTGACCCATGGCGGGTTTATATTGTACGCCCAACAAGCAAGTCAATGCATTTACGTTCTTGTGATCCTCATTGCCGCTTATCATACTTGCGCAATAACCAGCACTTGTAAGCTGGTTACCTGACAATAAATTCTTATCAGAGCCGCACTCCGTAAGGAAGCTCCTCAAAAACATTGTCACGAACAAACATCACGAGAAAAAAAACAAGACCCAGCGTTGCTTGCCAGCTTCGCCAGTGTGTGTGCCCACGGAACCTGGAGATACCAACCTCGTAGTGGAGGACAAGGAACCGTCCGGCCCTCGTCACTCCAGGTTCTCAATGTACGATGTGATTCTGTCAGGGACTCTGTCAATGCGGTGGCTTCCCGAGTAACATCCGCCCCCCATCTTTCAGATGCTGTTTCCCAGAAACACTCAAAAGTAAATCCTTGGTGGCAATAAACTTGAATGATCATCAGCCCCGCCTCTAGCAGTTTCTGATGACATTGTGTTGTTTACCTTTCTACTTACGCAGTAATCATGACATCTACTTGGATGATCAGCCCTGGCTCTAGCCATTACCTTCAACAATATTCTACTTATCATAACATCTACTTGGAGTTTAACCATATATACGGCTTCACGATGTAAGTAACAGGACCACATAAATAGGCGGAGAATCTCGTTGTCTCTGCAGGCCAAAGAAGCTGGCCATGTTGTCTAATAAAAAGCTCCCTGGCGGGGAGTCGAACCCCGCTCTCGCGCGAATAGCCGGGCATGTAATCGCATGACAGGCGCGTGTACTGAACCGATATACTACCAGGGACTTATCATACGGAAGTAATGATGTACATAATATCGGCTGGAGCCATTTTAGACAATGTTCAAGTCTAATGCCCATAAAATGCTTGTTAGACAAAGGGTGATTAGCTCCATGTCTCAGATCTTAGTAACAAATGTGAATTTCGCATTCTGAGCCGCTGCTGCTTGAAGAAATGCGTTTAACAATTTCAATAAAAAAACACCAGCCACCTTGATAAATATCCCTACACGCGCGTGTTATGAATTCAAGCAGCTGGCACTTAACAGCGAGACCGAACCGATTAGGAACGTACTGGTCCGCAAGGGCTGGACTAGAGAATTGGTACTTATACGCAGCGTCAAGGCCCAATATCAACTGTTACGACAGCCAAGATCCAGCCAGGACATCAGACAATAATGAGTGAATCCTCACCACTCTTGAATTTGCTCGGAAAAGTTGTGCTGAGTGGCAAATCAGGGTCGTTTGGTTTCCCGTGTACTACGTTGTGTGAAGATCACAAATCCAAAAAGCCGAGACTTGTATGGTGAGGCTTAAGGAGGTCTCAGCGGAGGTAGTGATACCTAGAAAGGACGTTCCGAGTGCTTGTAAAGCATCTGCGGCGGAAATTGATTGTGAAGTTGTCGACTGGCTTTCGTCCGTGGACAGATTGGGTTATGGGTGGAAACATTTGTTGCAGTGGTACGCTTTGTCCGGTCGGCAAGCGCAGCGAGTCTAAAAGCTACCCAGCCACAAACTTCTGTCTGCAATCTATGGCTTATCATGATGTAAATGTCACTTTATAAACCATCCTCGTTTAGACGCCGAGTGATCATGCAGACTAATAGTCAATGTGCGAATGATTGCAGCCTATTGAAATTCAACAATGTGGTGTCAGATGAGCTGTGCATGTTTGTTCATACCTCTCTTGAACTTGCAACTTGGTGACTCCACTGGCTTTCAAGTCCATGTATGCACATGTACCGGCTGGCGCGTTCACCGGAACCGCGTGATATGGCACTCACCAAATGCCCCAGTTGACCAAACAGGTTCTGCAAACAATCATTGTTCCGCAACATTCTCCTCTAACCACCTCCTCACCTCCTTCTTCCCAACCATCCCAACAACCCTCACCCTCTCCACCATGTCCCGATCCCGGTACAGGCGCATAATATACCCACATACACACCAGACATCTTCCCAGGCAGCGTCAAACAGATCCCACCAACAATTTGGCGGTGTCGACGGAAGAGATATGTGGAGGTGTCGGGTGGTGAGAAGGATTGCAGCACTGACTATTGTGGGTATAGCATACAGCGCATATACAGGGGTTTGAAGTCTGATGGCAGCGATAAAGTCATCAAAATCCAAGGAATTGGAAGCTTACTCACGCATCATTTAGATAACCCCACGCACGCGTGCATGCATCCTCCCGACTCGTCAGCCCAAGGACCCTCAAGTAATTCACCAGCGTCCCATAGGGCAGAACGACATGCACATTGAAGCCCAGGCGCTTCAATATCTGCATCTCAGCCACAACAAGCGCATCTTTCAAATCGTAGAAAGTTGTACCGAAATACGACATGGGTGCGTATTTGAAGTCTGGATTGGCGTTAGGTGAACTATGGAGTGCAAGTGTATGTGTCGCTCGTTGAAGGAGTAGGTCGTAAACGTTGATGAGATCACGCATACGGAGTGGGCACTCTTCGAGCTTAGATGCTAGGTATAAAGCTCCCATCCCTACATCCTAAACAGGGATTTGAGACGCATATATGCATATATGGACTTTGCAGCTCACCCCAATCCCAAATTGTTTCATCGATGTCACGAACCAGAATCTGTGAAACAGTATTTGTGCAGTGGCTACGGCCACCTGCTTTCTGGCTTCCGCACATCAGCATGACGCGTCAGAAAAAAAAGTAAGAGAATCCGAACTGCTTGAGCAGAATGCCAGCTTGATGTATGAGTTTGCAACCAAAGGCTTTGAGATCATCCTCTAGATCAGCAGGCAACCCATCTTCGCCGGATGGTGTTCTCTCTATTTGGGACAAAGAGGCCAAAGGAACCAGAGCTGCGGACATGGGAGGAATGAGAACTTGAAGAGGCTGCCTCGGGTGATCTTCTCGAGGCTGTAGACAAACAGACCACAACAACTGCTTGTGAAGTTTGCGAAGGCTCGAAGCTGCTGATAATTACATGTCAAGTCTTCCTCCAAAGCCGGAGCCCGGCGAAATATCGCCCAGGAGCCCTCCACAGGATGACCGCCGCTATACGGGGCGCACGGCGCTGATGGCTGCACCAAGCCAATATAGGCGTGACGAGCCCAGAAGGAGTGATGTATACATTGCTCGATCACCTCCGCGAACACGCGGCCCTCCGGTACATGGAGATTCCTATGTTGCATCAGATACATATGTAGCTCCATCCGTATATGACCGGCGAGAAGATGACACGTATCGGCGGGATTATGCAGAATGGGATCGACGATTTGGACGGGAATACTACAAATCGAGGGAACGGGGTGGTGATCGTAGAGGGTGGGAGCGAGACGATGGAGCACGAAGTTGGGAGGCTAGACATGACTATGATCGCCGTGACCGCGGACATCGACCCAATGACCGACCTCCACGAGACTCTTCGGAACGCGACCGTCGGTGGCGGCCTCGTGCTTCAGTCTCCCCACCACGTCGTGCTGGTCAGTATTTAATCATCTACACTTTACTTGTATGCTTATCAATAATCTAATTGCATTCATGTAGGTTCTCATCACCCTCCACCTGAGCGGCGCCGCAGTTCCCCAAGATCACCACGGCGTAGACACGCGTCCTCCCCGAACTCCCGCAGTGCGTCACCCAGCACCTCTCGTCAGCCATCACCTACACGCCGTCTAAGACTCGGTTCACACTCTATAGGAAGTCCCCGCTCCCCCCATGGACGCAGTCGGACGCGCAATGAATCCCCCGAAAAGCGACGCCATTACAGCCGGAGTGGCAGTAACAGTCCTCATCGGAAATCTCCTCGACGCTCAATTACCCCGGACAAAGACTCACGGAAGAACAATGCATCTACTGTAAGGAGGGAAAGATCACCTAGCCCTTCTCGAATTAAAGACGAAGAACTCAAACCACAACGCCAAAGTCACGGCCTCAGTGAAAGCCGCCCTCGTACGCCAGCAGAGGCCGAATCCGTCCCCGACATTGTGATGTCGAACGACCCCCCGCCACAAGGAACAGTGAAAGAAGAGCCTCCCGCCGTCACCGAAGCAGGCGGCGATGTCAAAATGCACGAACCGTCCCCACCGCTACCCACAGGACCCAGAAGCTCGCTACCAGCGCGCGAACCACCAAAAGGACCCAGAGGCTTCATACAACCTCCCACTGGGCCCGCTTTACGATTGTCACCAACCAAACCGGACTGGTCCTCTCGGACCACCCCGCAATCTGCTCTAGGGTCTTCATTTGCTCGAGCCGAATTACTACCCAGCCCTCAAACAGCAGTGACAGCGAGCTTACCGACTATCCCTGTATATAGGCCCAAAACGACCCTTATTCCCGAGCTTGAGGCGGAGGTTCGTTCTAGCCTTCGGATGTGCTTTGCTCTATTAGCTTCGGGCGCTCATAATATTGCACAATATAGATTGCACGTCTCCAAGTCCAGCGTGCTCATCTCACATCGGAATACATACCTATTTCTAAAGCTGCTCGACGAGCGCTGCACGAACTAGAAATGGCATCATGGGATCTTCGTGCAGCAGAGGACAGGCGTAAGTTGGCGGATAGTCATGTGGAGAAGGCGCGTCTGGGGGTGCTAGGCATCGACCATCTGCCGACGGCTTCAACTTGATGCGACGTTGTTCTTGTCTGTAGGTTTAATAAGGTCTCACTGACGGAAGTGCTAGGCAGTTCTTTGGTATTATTCCTAACAAAAGGCTATGACTTTGGGAGCCGTGTACATTCCATGTGTGTCCGAGCTGGATCCATCGGAAGAGCACAGAAAAACCCTTGATCCTATATAATAATATGGTGTACACGCAAACAAGTCAGCAAACAATGATATTGATATGCGGGATGAGAGTAGAAACCTGCATCGCTTTAAACAACTTGGTGGAGTACATTTGCAGCTGCAACGAGCCCCCCGGCGCAATTGGAAAATTTTCAGTTCCTTCTCCCAGTTTGCTATGTGGGCAAACAGCCTACTTACCATGATGCACTCCCGTCTTTTGTCACCTTCTTCACGGCATATCTCCGATTGTGGAGCCCCTCGTTCGCTGTCGAATGTATACAGCGCGTTGGGATTCTTCTGAGTAGTTCCAATAGGTCAACTTTGGTCCGAAAGAACGGAACTGTGCACATACCGCGATGAAGGACTGAAGGACCTTTTTTGGCTCTTTAGTGTCTGCTGGCATTGGTTTTTCTGCAGAGGAATTGGTCCGGCAGAGGAGTTTGTCGATAAGCGGCATTTGAAGAAAGTGAAATCGTGACGTAAGGTGTTTAGATAAAATTGGTTTGTTTCCATGATCACGGTGAGCGCCGCTCAAAATTCATTATTTTAGCTGACACTAAATTCAACTCATTCAAATAGTACATCTACAACATAAAAATCGCCAGGCTGCTACATAAGTTTTATAATCTTATCGCCACAGACTCGTCAGAGTCGTCGTTGTCCAGTTCCTCCTCAATACATCGATCGCGTGCAGTTGCTACCGCCCAAAAATCTGAGTGAGGACGGAAACCCGATAGAACCGGTCACTCACATGCATCGTGAAGTCTAAGTATTTGTCTTTTTATTTTACCAGCCACGCCCTGCCATTTTGCCGCCCTTCAAATTGTCATCACTACACGCAACAATTTCAGATGCCTGACGAGGAGTAAATTATAATCTTCAACTCACATTGTCAGGCCAACCATGGCTTCACCCAAGTCTTCCGAAACCTATATGACGATGTAAAAAATCAAATAACAAGGGAAAAGGACTATAAGGCTGACCTCGGCAAGAATTTTTGGGTTGTTATAATGGGTCACGGCTTG